ATAGTCTATGGTCCAAAAGACGCCCTTTTAAAATGTAGATCTAAGTTACATGTGAGAGATTTACTTTGAATAAATGCATACCGTGTTGCGTGCAGTAGAGTTCAACAGCGTTTTCGTCTAGCGAGTGACGTCCACGCCGGCTGCAACGTCTGCCATTCCCATGAAGCCCAATATGTGCAGAGCACTGGACCTCGGCTGGCTGTCTGTAATAAAGGAAACATAAAACAGGACATATAGTCTATTACTACTAGATTGCAAATAATAGAATGCGAATATAAGACAAAAGTGCAGATGTTGCAATTTTGGTAAGACATTCGATAGGGTAATTACAATGAATGACCCAAAACAAATAACTTTCAACTCACTGAAGGGTCAATATCCTGCGTGTATTAAAGGGACTGTATCAGCAGTTTCCATGCGCAGAAGGCCATAATTCGCCGACACCAGACTTGGTGGAAATACCATTAATGGGGGTACAAGTCTGCACACAGCAAACCCGTTGGCCAGTCAAGAATCCGGCCCCCCCCCCCCTTCTGATTTCTCGGATAATACTCGAGAGTTTTCGGGTAACGGGGAAACCAAAGCATTACATAAGGTCTAGTGGTCATAAAACTCAAGGCTAACCCGGGTGATTGACAACACCTGTTGTTGGGTAAACACCCGAACGGTGTCGAATTCTCCATGAGAGCTGACTACTGAGTTGGTAAATTCATTTTATTTTTAATTTAGAAAATAACTATATACATACTGTCGGTGTTGCCAGCACTCCTCCACATCATCAACAGGCAGGGGTGCCTTCCTCCTACAACGAGTACCCTCCAGGGTATTCATCACACAGTTCCCGGTGAACTTGTTGCCGTAAAAGACCATTATTACACAAGTGAAATAACAGTGGTTCAAAGCAAGCTAAGCGAACGAAGCAAAAGCTAAGTAAATATCTCAAAACGACTTGTCTAGGACAGAATCTAGCAGAGAATGGTAAATTTCTTGCTTCCCATCTTACTCGAAACCTAAAACCGATTCGCGCGAGCGGTCTCTATTTGCATGTTCAATTGAAATACATCACGTGATTTGTTTATACGGCCAATAAGTGGTGAACACTAATTGTTCTCTGGCATGCGTGACGGAATTATTCAATTCCGTTGCGTTGAAGGTGTTTCATTTGAATATGAAAAGAGAGGATGCGAGATAAGGGTGTGGTGTGTAGAGGAAAGTCATTCTAGCTTCAGAGTGACATCTGTATGTGATGGTTGCTATGGGTGATATTATGTGATAAACGATGTTAGGATGAACTATTATTTGTCGGCGGTACGATTGTATAGCAGACAAATGTTGTTTGTATCGTTAATGAATGCATACTTATGTTGGGCGCGGGGGGGGGGGGGGGGGGGGGCTGTGCCCCGATGGAATGTATATTTGCATAGGCAGCTCGTACAGGTGTGCGAGCTAATTCTGCTACGGAGACCAGGGCGTGGCATGAATTAGTGTGTAATATCATTCTAGCTTGAACTTTCAACGAGACAACTTTTATTTACAATAAAAGTGTGTTGTGTCATATAGCGTTACATCAGTGGCGGACCCCCCCCCCCCCCCTTGAGAAAAAAATCATGTAAAATCACGCGAATTTTACCTTTTTGGGGGGTTGGGCCCTCCCCCCCTGGCGCTCAAGGGGGGGGGGGGGGTGCAAATTTTAAAATTTTCCAGGACCAAAAAAAAAAAAAAAAATGTGCTCACTACCCCCCCCCCCCTCCCCCCCCCCCCCCCCCCCCCCCCCCACTGAGCGACTTTTCGGCCGGCGCGATTTTCAAATTTTCGGGAGCAAAAAAAAAAAAAGTTGGGCCCCCTCCCCTAAGAAATCCTGGATCCGCGCCTGTGTTACATGACTGTGTTTGAATAAGGTTTTCCAGAGTTTTTATGCTCGTTGAGTTTTATCTCTGGTTTTTCATCCTGGACCATGATAGGTCCGGTTTCCAGTAAAGGAAACGAGAAGAAATGTTTGTTAAACATTCATACTGAATAAACGGCTGGCTCTCGGTAGTCGTTGTCAGGCTATTCCACAATAATTGAAGTGTATTATTGTGTTATTTGTGTGTATTGGGAGTCAAGAAAATTTGGAAAATTGCATCCCCCCCCCCCCCCTTGAACGCCAGGGAGGGGGCCCATCTCCATAAAAAGGTAAAATTAACGTGTTTTTACAGATTTTTTTCCGGGGAGACCACAGGCCCACCGGCACCCTCTCCCCCTGGATCCGGCCGCCACTGCGAGCACATTTTCGTTCCCGAAAAGCAAAAAATTTGGCCGACCTATATTTCGATGGCTCCCCCAGCCAAGGTCACTTTTTTGGGGTCACCCTTTTGCACACAAAAAAGGTTTTTTTTCTTCTTTTTTTAATTAAAAATCACACACATCAAAAATGTTAGTGGGGGTTCGACCCCCAATCCCCCACCCCCTACGTACGCGCCTCTACCTATCTGTAGTACTCAAGTTATTTTGACCCCCTTAAAAAAAAAATTAGGAGTCCAAAGACAGAGAGAGAAAAAAAACTCCCTCTTTTAGAGTTTAGAGTTTAAAAAATTAAAAAAATGATACCCTTTGACTGAATTAATGTGACTTTATGCTGGTGCAACATTGAGATATGATTAAGAATAGGCCTACAATTAACATGACACGTTTAAATAATATCCAACTAAATGTTCTGTGATTTTTACAATGTAAATGTATATACTATTAACTTGTGTCAGTGGCGGATCTAGGGGGCACAGGGGGCACGTGCCCCCCACCCCCCCAAAAAAAAAATAGTGCTCACTACTCCCCCCCCCCCCCCCCTGCATGGGGAGCAAAACAAAATAGTGCTCATTACCAAGGGTTCAAAAGAAGCTAGAGGGAAAAGATGAGAGACTGAAATGCCTCCACCTCAAGCACCTACCCCAATCAACAGGCAGACGCGGATCCAGGATTTCTTAGGGGGGCCCAAATTTGAAATTATGCGAGCCAAATATTGGTAAGTAATGGTGACCAGCAGTGACATAATTGGGAGGGGGTGTGTGCAGGGAGGGGCGAGTTTTCCCCTTTTACGTTTCATTAAATCATTAGAGAAAGAAGACGATTCGTTGTACCGTTCTCAACTCTTAATCCTTGTCTAAATTCAGTCCCCCCCCCCCTCCCGCGAGAAGCGCGGAAGCTTCGACGTTTCATTTAATTATTATAGAAAGAAGACGATTCGTTGTACCGTTCTCGAAAATTATCCTTGTCTGAATTCAGTTCCCCTTTCCCTCTCCTGCGCGAAGCGCGGAAGCTTTAACGTTTCATTAATTCATTAGAGATAGAAGACGATTTGTATTTCCATCCTTGACTCTTAATCCTTGTCTGAATGTAGTTCCATCCCCCCCCCCCTCCTGCGCGAAGCGCGGAAGCTGTGACGTTTTGTTAAATTATTAGAGAAAGAAGACAATTCGTTGTACCATTCTCGACTCTTAATCCTTGTCTGAATTTCAAAAATGTTCTTTATCTACTCGCTTTTCTCCCTACGTCCTCTTCCATTTCTCTCCTCTCTTTTTTGGCCAGCGTTTTAGGGGGGACCACCCCACCGCCCCCTGGATACGTGCCTGCTGTCAAATGAACATATGTTGATACCTTGTCCGCCCCCGGAAGCTCAGGGGTTTAAGGCAAAAATTTACGGTCAGATTTTCCTTCAGGGGTCCGCCTTGGGGCCCTAGGCGGGGTCCAGGGGGCAGAGCCCCGGAAGTTCAGTGGTTTTAGGCATGCAATTACGGTCAGATCAGCCTTATTTTGATACCTTCTTATTTTGTGACACTGGCAGGACACTGTTTGGCGTGGGGTCCAGGGGGCAGAGCCCCCAGAAATCAGGGGTTTTAGGCATTAAATTACCGTCAGATGAGCATCTAAGGGCCCGCCTTGGGGCCCTAGGTGGAATCCAGGGGGCAGAGCCTTGGGGGTTTTAGGCATTTAATCATGGTCAGATGAGCATATTTTGATACCTCATTATAATGTGACACTGCAGTTAACTATTTTTTCTTTCTTGCTCTCTTTCTTTCTATTTCTCTTTAATATACTTTTTCAAAAAAAGTGTGGGGGGAGGGGGGAGGGGGGTTAGAGGTTCCCCGCCGTTCCGTGGGCCCTGACATGTAGGCATCTCAAGAAGGATTTTTTTGCCTGGCTGTAAATTAAGGAATTGGTCATTTTCCAACAAACGCATAAAAAAGTAAAATTTACTTAAAAGTGTATTTCCCCAAGGCCCCCCCCCCCCCCCCCCCGGTCTACATCTTGTTGGCGGGAAAATTGCAACTGATATCCCTTACCTTTCTTCATTCTCTTTTTTCTCTCTCTCTCTCTCTTCTTTCCCTTTCCCTTCCCTTCCTTCTCTCTCTTTTAGATTTGCTAGGGGGGGGGAAGGTCATTTTGGCCCCACCCCGCTCCACACATTGTTGGCGGGACTACCCGCAACTGATATCCCCTTCTTTTCTCCCTTTTCTTTTCTTCTTCCTCTTTTTTGTTCTCCTTTTGCTCTCCTCTTTTCTTTTTCCTTACTTCTCTCTTTTTTTAGCAGGGATGGGGGGGGGGGGGATATACAACTTGTTGGCGGGAAAATTGCAACTGATATCCCCCTTCTTTTCTTTTCTTCTTCCTCTTTTTTCCTTCCCTTTATCTCCTCTTTTCCTTTTTCTTTCCCTTTCCTTCCTTCTCTTTTATTTTTTGATTGGGGGGGGGGGAGGCAACAGCCTGGGAGGCAAGTCCTTTTACCCCTCCCCCGATCTCCTTCTTCCCTCTTTTCTTTTCTTCTTCCTCTTCTTTTTTTCCCTTTTCCTTCTTTTCCTTCTCTCTCTCTCTCCTTTTTTTTTTTGCAGGGGGGGGGGGCAAGGCTCGCTCGGCCCCCCCCTGGATCCGCGCCTGCCACTATGCACCACCACTCTCCGTACTGGCGCAGCAATCAACACTCTTTCTTATAAAGGACAATTAATGATTCTTTTTTACTCCAATTGTGGATGTTATACAATTTATTAATCGTCGAACCGTTTATTATACTCAGAAAACATGAATCATATTCTAATTGCCGATTAAGCTGGATTATCAATTGATTTTCTTAAGCATCTCAGAATCATGTCCTCACACGAATATCCCGATTGATAAGACAAATTTACGCCCTCACCTGCCGAAATTTTGAGGCTGCCCCTTCTAAGATGAACGTCCTCGTTTCATTGTTAAAGAATTTATAAGGTTAACATTTCTCTGCACATGAAATAAAACATTGACATGTAGGTACATTCATTTAAAAAAATATATCTTGATCTAACTTATATACATCGTCTGCTTCCTGTGAAAAAGAACATGGTCAAATTTCAACTACAGTTCAATAAAAATGAGAAGAGGGTCTTAAAATGGTTGTAGACATTACAAAATACTTTTTGAAAAATATAATGTTTATTCAGTTCTTATTCAGTGAAAATCATGCTGTATGGCGGTAGAATTTGCCATACACATTTTTCGAAAAATATACCACATTTTGTTGTTTTTGATAATTTTTCACAAAATGTCAGATCTAATAATTTTCCAACAAAAGGTGATTGTCTTACTAATTATGACATCTTGTAACGTTCGTCATGCCCTAAAAGGTCTAAATTCATGCAAAAAGCTGGCATCCTTGAATCTTTAGAGCAAGGAATAAAGCATTTTACCATCTGCTTTCTGACTCTTTTATTGAAAAACCCACATCACAGAAGGAGCTTAATCACAAAGCTCTCAATGCATTATGTGCTGCTCGGAGCCAAATAGCAACAGCCATTGCCCCAGGATCAGGTCGTCCTAACTGGTCTGGGTTGACGTATCTTGCTCTGCCAGCTCTGGCGGCCATCATAGCTGTAGCTTCAGCACTTTGCTCAGCAGCCTGTTTAGGATAGAGAAAAATGATAGGTTGAGATCTGAAAAGTAAAGATCTAGTAAAGCTATAAAGGCCAAAAAAAAATCTGAATGGATTGGTTTTCACTCCCTCTATTGGTTCCCCCTTTTTATTTCTCATTGTGTCCATCATGCTTTTTACCCATACCACCCCCTCTATTGGTTCCCCATTTCTCATTATCTGTTTCCACCTTGCTCTTTACCCGAACCAACCCCTCTATTGGATACCTCTTTCTGTTCCTCTGTGTCCATCTTGCTCTATACCCATACCACCCCCTCTATTGGTTCCCCATTTCTCATTATCTGTTTCCACCTTGCTCTATACCCGAACCAACCCCTCTATTGGATACCTCTTTCTGTTCCTCTGTGTCCATCTTGCTCTATACCCATACCACCCCCTCTATTGGTTCCCCATTTCTCATTATCTGTTTCCACCTTGCTCTTTACCCGAACCAACCCCTCTATTGGATACCTCTTTCTCTTTCTCTGTGTCCATCTTGCTCTATACCCATACCACCCCCTCTATTGGCTCCCCATTTCTCATTATCTGTTTCCACCTTGCTCTATACCCGAACCAACCCCTCTATTGGATACCTCTTTCTGTTTCTCTGTGTCCATCTTGCTCTATACCCATACCACCCCCTCTATTGGCTCCCCTTTCTCTTTAACTGTGTCCATCTTTTCTTTCTCTCTCTCTCTCTCTCTTCTGTCTTTGATCAAAATGCTAAAGAAAAAGTTATTTTCTGGTTTCATAATTGGTTGTGAAGGATTTTAATCATTTCACATGGGACAATCATCCTATTGGAATACAAACATGATATCTTCACCTCAAAAATGAATTTACTTCCGACACTCTCATGTATATAAATGAGAGTGAATGATACAATCATCCTGTCATCTAAAACTGATACCCTAAGATCCTTTTACCAGTATGCATAACTATCTCATAGTCTAATCTCTTTTTTCATTAATTATGTCACTCCTTCAATGATTCTTCCGCTCCCTTCAAACCCACATCCCCCAAATGTGTACATCTGCACATGCATATCAGGAGAATAAGAAGGTATTTCTTTTCACTTGGATGAACTCACATTGACTGCATCTTCCAAGGTCTTCATAGAGTCTGAGTTGTTAGTGTGGCCTTCCTTCAGTATCCTGTATGCTGCGTCAAGCGGATCCAGCTGATAAAAATAATCATAAATATTTGTTACAATCATTAATAATTATAGGTAGTTCTATAGCGCCGTCTATCAAGAAATTCTATTCAGAGGCACATTAATTAGTACCCCCGCTTTGAACCTTTGTCTAGGACTACAGTTTGTGCTTTTACTGTGAAAACTTACAAATTAGCCTTACCCCTATATTACTCTGGCTCTTACTTCCGTCTTAGTCTTTTTCTTCTTTTTTTAAATAAATCTTTCTTCAGATAGAATCAAGGATAACATCATACATAAATATTCATAACAAGCACTTAACCACATGTTTAAATGAGATCAAATCAAATTATATTCCTGTAAATCAGTAATAATCTTCCTATTGTCTTAGTCTTCATTTAGTTATATCTGTATTATTTCAAATGCAACTGAAACAAAACAAGCTTGTGCTTATCTTCTACATTGATTTTGATTAATATGCAAATGTTTCCTTTTTGAAACATAATTTAAAATCAGTCACTATATGAAAAAGATGCTTGATGCTGTCGCATGAATATCACAGTTTGACTCTTGCATGCCTCTTAAAATCATGTGCAAGAGTCAATGCACAAAATTGCTGAGGGGCGCACAATTTCCACATAAATTACAAATTTAACAAATATTTTACCGATAAACTTTCAAATATGAATACTGATCCAAAACAAACATGGAAAAAAAATTAATCAGTCATTTCTCTTAAAAAATGTGATTGTACAATTAGTGATAAGAATGAAAGTGTTAAAGAATTGTATTCTTTATGTACATGCAGAAATTGATGTCCTGTTTTATATTTAATAGCAAGGTTTTATTTTGTCAAGAATAAAACCAAGAAGATGGGAATGCTTTGTGAAACTCATAACCTTACAAGATATTTATGTCAAATCTTGCAACTATATACACAGATTCAAACCTCAGAATTTGAATTTTGTAAATTATTGTTCTTTGTAAGGGGTTACACTCAACCAATGATGTGTAATCGTCCATGACCTAGCATCGTTTATCCATCCATGAATGAACCTGCATTCAATCAGCAGATGTATTAGATTTATTTTATTAACAGAAAACCAACGCTCCTTCTCTCCCCTTTCCTTTTCTTCTCTGCAAGTCACTCTTCTGCTTTTTTATTTTAATTTTTATTGTTGTATCTAAGTTGAGGGCTGTGGGCACGTCAAGCTACATTACTTATTCTGTAGCCCACCTGCATCTAATGTATGTTAATTATGCATGCATTCAATATATTTGTTTAATTTTGTATATTATCTGTATAAAATTATATACACTTGAAATATTGTATCAAACCATATTATGTTCATGAAAAAATGTTTGATGAAAAAAAAAGAAAGATGCAGAAACCAATAAATAAAATAAAATAAAATAAAATCAAATCTATTATGACATATACCATGGTTCTGTCCCCAACCTCTGCTTTGCCATACTTCATAATTCTGTCCATGCCTTGCCTGAGGGCTTCTACACCAAATCCAGGTTCATATCCTAATGCTTGTTGAGCTGCTAGCAGGAACAACCCATAGAACTACAATCAAGATCAAAAATTGAATCAAGGATATCATTCTATAATCTGATATTCACTTTATACCAGGTATGAACTTTAAAGAAAAGAAATAGGCAAGTCCTAGCTATTTTGTACCATACATAATTATCCAGTGTGCAATTTTAGTATCTTTTATGATTGCATTAAAGGCCCACTGCACTACTTGTATCTACTTGCGCCCTCTATATAACAAACAATGCCTAATCGGTGACCATTGGTCCCCCATGATCCTCTTTTTCTTATGTTAACTGAGAGCTGAGTTGATGAGATAACCACCTGTCCAGTGACCTTGCAGGGCACTCTAATCCCTCCTGTAAACTATGGCAGATAAGCTTTAAATTTTAATATAGGCCTCATAGAACTTGGAATCATACGAAATCACCAGGAAAATGATACATTTGATGTCAATTATTTACATAAAGGTTATCAAATTTTAATATGAAACATCAAATTACCAAATACTTTGGACTTGCCTAATTTTAAGCAAAACTAAACCATCATATTTTTGTTGCAGAACAGCCAAAAAATTTAACCAATGTTAACCCGAAGATAATCATTAGTATCCACAATGTATTTCCAATAGTATATTAGAATACAAACACAAGTGAAACTTTCTCATCATATTTTTAAGATGAGCTAGGGCATTAATTTGATGAGAAATCCTTTTCATAGAATATTCCTCCTCCTATAATATATGCCAAACCGACATATATATATATATATATATATATATAACGAATTAGAAAGCCCAAAAAACCATTTCTTCTTTTCTTCAAAGGGAATGACTTACATCATAAAGTGGAGTGCATTTTATACAAATAAATACAAATTTAATGTATATAAACGAACGTGGTATAATTATTTGGTATCGGTCATTATGTTACTGATTTATCTACTATGCTTTGTTATACTATTGTACATGTATAAAACGATTTATATTTTTTGTAAATTGACCCTTTCAGCTTAATGCTGCTGGTTGATGATTATATACCAATAAATAAAAATTAATAAATGAATAATCATCTTACAGCCCCTGAGCTTCCTCCCATGGCTTCCTCAGCAATTATAGACATGTGACCAGCTACATGACTAACGGAGAGCAGCTCTTCACTTTCAATCCAGGTCTTCATTGCTGAGGGTCAGATCAGTTATTAAAATCAATTAATTGATCAATTTTGTAATGTCACAATCAAATTTAAATCTTTGTTAAAAGTGCCTTGTTACACATTTTGTCATTCATCTGTTACAAATAATTGTATTTCAATACCGGTAGTCAGAAAGCAAATGGCATATATCACGTGTTGTTAGGTAGGTCAAGCAATAATGTTTGTCCTACCTAGCAACAACTAATGTATGCAATTAGAATTCTGATTATTGAGATACTTTCATTTGTAACAGGTGAAAATAATGACTCGTAACGAGCGCTTACAAAGATTTGTGCATTAAAATTGATTATAATATGAAAATGTTCTACCGGTATTGGGCAGAAATAATTACTGACAAGTCTACAATTTACTAATGTTATACATGTAAATGTATATGTCATTTATGTTGTTTAAGGCATAATAATTATTAAAGCTGATTCAAAAGTTGTCTTCATGATAATCATTACACAGGGTACTCACAATTTATGTTACACTATTTTCAAGTGTTGTCAAATTCCCAATCCTTTAACGACTTGTAATATCCATGGAAATATAGGGTTCCACAATATTCATGGTTTCCCAAAATTGAGCAATGTGATTAAAGTTTGTGAGGTACAAACGTGTGCAAATCTTGATCACTTGCAAACGTCTGTTTCTAATCAATAAACCAGTCCAATCTAATCCAATTCAATACAATGCAATTCGTGCATGAAAGCCTCATGCACACATTTATTGTCTTATACTTAAAAATCTAGTATTAATTCACTTTCATCGACTACCGGTACACTTATCCCCAGAGTATAGTTAAGCTAGGAGCAGACAAGGTGTACCTTCTGCACCCCTTCTAAGGGTGGATCCACAGTCTCCGTCCCCGCTGCTGGTGTCAAGATCGTTTAAAAGCTTCTCACTCTCCATCAATCGATAGCATACACTGCTCAAAACAGTCTTAATTCTCTTACAGGACTCTGGAATGAACAAAACAAGAGGGAAAATGATTTTTAAAAAGTGAAAAATTAAATCCAAAACCTGACAATTTTATTGTTTTTTGTTTTTGTTTCATTGATTTTATTTCTGCGTTCAAATGACAAATACAAGTTTATACATTTTTACATCAGTATTACAATAGCAAATCAAATCAAATCATTATGTTTAGAATTAGTCCTTTCAAGGCAGGTACTTTTTAGGGCTGAATGGAACACATATTGTTCTTCAAATTGGCAAAATAAATATTTTCTTACTGCAACATTTTTCTATTTAATAAAATGAAATGTCTCTGAAAAAAATTACTTGGGGTAAAAATTTTGCAATGAGTAATTTAAGAAATAAACTAAATCAAATACCTGCTTATGCAGTATACTTTCTTGATGGAAATAATAAAAATCTCACCATTACTCAATTTCTCTCCTTTTCTTGTCACAGGGGTGGATCCTAAAGAAGCTTGCTCTAAAACTGGGAGTTCTTTACCAAGTGATATGTTACCATGGCGATGAGATACAGATGGCCACGCTGGAGCTGAGGTCGCCTGATCTATCAACAATCACAATAAATTTTTCTAAGTCATGCATTGAACAAGATAACGGAAGAACTATACCTGAAGTATCTTTTCCGGTAATCAAACAAACAAAATTGACTTTTACTATTTTGTAACTGTTTTACAAGGTATAAAAGCCATGTAGGATATTGGTAAGCACTCAAATACTGTCTATAATAATTCTTTATATTAGTGGATAAAAAAGCATGTTTCCCATAATTTTAGGCATGCGTTGTAAGAAACAAATAATAGATACAAACAATTTTTAAATGACTTTGCACAGATTAGCTTTTTTATCAGTTTCTGTCATATTACGGCACAGTGGAGTAAAAAAAAAGATAAATATTTCAATTGTGTATTTGTGAAACAAAGACTTATCTCCTTCTCAGTGTGTCACTCTTTATTTATATGGACCAATACGTCTATTTTATTGATCAGGACTATTGCTACTCTGTAAAGTGAAATATAGAATTTATAATTAGAGTGTGATCTTTCTGGAATAAATTATGAAGGCTAATTATGAGAATTAGTGTATAGTGTGAGGTTTTATAATCTTTATTATGATAGGAAATTGATTCAGCCTTGCTGAAAGTAACATAAAATGCACACAGAAATGTGTATACGGGACTACACTTTTTTGAGATATGAAAGTTTGAACCAAATTTTCTTGTCATATTCAAAATGTGAGGTCATTCTTTCTATACTATTCCTCCAAAGTGACATAAAAGAATGAGAAAGAACACAAATCAAATCTTCACCAGAACTCAAACAAATCTTTAAAGCCGGCCCGTCTGCTCTAGTTTAGCCAGGGGTGATTATAGCCCTCCCTGCAAGGTCACTGGCAGGTGGTTATCTCATCAAATCAGCTCAATTAACATAAGAAAAAGAGGATCATGGGGGACCAACAGGCACCGATTAGGCATTGTTTGCTGTATAGAGGGCCCAATTAGCTATAAGTAGTGCAGTGGGGCTTTCAGATAGGAGTGAATTAAGACCATGCACTCACCAAGATACGAGGCTCGCTGTCCACTCCGGTCCAGGATGAGGATAGTAAGAGAGATGCCGACCATCTCTAGTGATGTCATGAAGCAGCCACAGTAAACCCTCTCTACCTTGACTCCTGCATCACCTGCAATAGAAGTGAAAAGTTCACAAGCTCTAAACAAATGTATTAAAACAATAACACAAAAGTGTGGTACTTCAAAATTAAAAATAAGGATTAATGCAATTGTTAACTTACATTCAGGCATTGATTGAGCTCACAAAGGCCACCTTTCTTCACCTTCAACAATGTCTGCTACAAAAAAACTCACAATATAAAAAACAAATAACCTATTCTATATGAGTCTACTAAACATCTTTGAGCTTTTCTTTTATAATTAATTCAAACTGGCTCACACCAACTAAAACAACAACATCTGGTGAATGGCATAGGAATATACTGAGATCAAACTTGAATATAAAATTCTAAAGCATTTTTTATGGGTAAAAATAGTGCTCAATTGTAATTGTAGCTCAGCCAGCCACAGCAATGTGACTGACACTGCAGACTCTCTACAGATCAAACAAGATATTGCACTGCCTCCAACTACATAAAATCGGCTGGATTAAAGGTAATACAAAGTTTTGGTATGGGGTCATGAATTTGGTTCAAATTGGAAGCATATGCGATTTTATGATCGTTGTCGTGTTTGAAATCGAGTCTAAAGTGATGAAATTGTAAATGATAAACTCTTTATGTTGTATAGCGGCCTCTCAAGACTGATATTACTTTCGCCTTAAAACAATGTTTCTTGACTACAATCGATCGATTTGCTATACCTGTTTGGAATTATATATCAGATCTACATATTCTGAGATTTTCATGGTCGCAGCTACAATGGAATGGCCTTAGGCGCTAATTGAAATATTCAAAATTTATCGGGAGCACCAGTAAATTTTTGATTAGTCAATTTCTCGAAAGCAGAAGTGTTTTAGGGGCTAAATTTTCTAGTGCTTATAATTCATCCGCAGGGGCATCCAAATATATCCAAGTTGTAAAGAATTACTATCCATCTAATTTTTAAAATTTCCCAAAACTTTGCATTACCTTTAAGGAGTCAATTTGGAGTCGGTAGAGTAGTGTGACTAAGGTATTAAAAAGGAACATACTTACTGAGGTACTGTAACACAGAGCGAGCTACAATGGCCATCTCCAGATTGGATGTACCGCCTAGGTTGTTGATCATAAGGGCAACCTCATCACCAGATTTCAAGTCCAGTCTACCTACAGTTATTTGTGGAGTCTCTCATCTGGTCCAATATAGCTACAACATCAGTAGCACTTGATAACTATCATGAAGGGCGGTTGAGAGGTTTGAGTATTATCCAACAGCTAATGTTTCTACAATGAATAACATCTTTTTTCTTTGATGAAGATACAATACACACATGAATGATAACCCCCCCGCCCCCCAGTGGAATAGCAAGGAAAAATGAAATAAAAACAATTATTAAATCCAAGAGGGGGAAATATTTATCAATATAAGAACACATAAAAATAATTATCCTCAAATTTGAAACTAGTAAAAATCTATGTTGTCTTTTTAATAGATTAAGCATGGTGTTATTTAAGAACACAAGATTTACAATTGAACATAAAAACAATCGTAGTCATAACATCTCTAATATTTATAATCAGATCATTTCATAAGCCGATAGTTATATGGGTGTTCATTGCCTAATCAGATGAAAACACAACACAGGCATGTCATTTACACAGGGGTCCAATTACTTCCGTAGAAGCAGTAGAAGTAATCCAATTATGAGCTTGTAAGTCCTAAGACAATATACGGTTAGGAATGATGGTGTAAAACCAATTAGGAGAATCAAGAATGTAAACATTTCATGCAGATATAGAGCCACAACAGAGCATACTTGAAGTATCAATAGCACCCAAGAATAAGCACTGGCAATTACCAATCAAACCATGAAAGAAAATGAGACAATTTTGTATTACCTATTCCCTAGTGAATTTAAGCTTTTTCAAGTGAATGAAAAACAAATAAATTTTGCTGTGAATGGAGCATATGGTATGTAGGTGGGCATGAGATTAGTTAAACTTCCGCAATGAATATAATTACACACTCTGTATTTTGATTTAACTTAAAATGTACTTTCATGTTTCACTGACTCATTGCAAATAAAAAAGGAAACCATTATTTGTTTTCAGCTAGGAAAAATGACTAAAGTGCAGTGTCAAGATGGGAAACAGTTTTGTGAAACACAAACTGAGAAATTTGATTAAGAAAATAACATGAAAAGATTTTAAAAAAGAGAGTTTTAAAAACATACATGCTTTTAGAGCCCATAAGAAAGCTCTGGAGCCTGGCGACAAGGGACTTTGCAAACATCAGTACATAGTCCTTTCAGGTTCTAATTTTACATGTTTGAATGTTTGTGGACCACCATGACACTCAGGGGCGGATCCAGGAATTTCTTCCTGGGGGGACATACGGGGTACGGGGGGCACACGGGGGTAAGAGGACATATATTTTTTGTTGCAGGGGGGGGGGGTAATAGCACATTTAAACCAAAAAAAAATTGGGTCTGGGGCATGTGCCCCCTGTGCCCCCCCCCCCCTGGATCCGTCCTTGACACTAACCTGTAATTGTTTGATTCCTGCTTCTCCATGTATACCAAGCCCAAGTCCTATTTCCTGTGGACCTAGACTAAATGATGGGCCAGCTCCCGGAACACTACATGGGTACAGACACACCCCAACAGTCCCTGAGAAGATATGAATTATGAGAGAGCTGGTCAAAGGTCTTTACAAAATATTTTTATAATATTGGATGGCTTTGAGTGTGGTACAAGAATAATGTCTTCACGAGCAATATATTCTTGTATCATACTCAAACAAAGCCATACAATATTATTATCATTATCTATATTAGTCTGACTAGTGAAATAACAAAATTTGACTTACAGGTACCGTTTTAGTAACTAAGATGATAAATATGGGTGTCAATCAATCTATCATTTCCGTTGTGTGTGACTTCCTGAGTAACAGATCCCAAACCTGTCCGCCTTGGTGGCATTACCTCTCAAGTTCAATCCATAACATGTGGTGTCCCACAGGGCACCAAGCTTGGCCCAATCCTATTTCTGATCATGATCAATGATGCTGCAGATTTCACCCCAAATAGATGGAAATATGTTGACGACCTTATCCTAGCAGAATTCAGAAAACATACTCAGCAATCACAATTGCAAGATCAGGTCTCCCAGCTAACCCAATGGTCCAGCACAAATCACATGACGCCTAAACCGTCAAAATGTAAGATCCTTAATATATGCTTCATGCGAAACCCTCCACCTTTCCCTGAAATCAAGATCGGCGATTCTGTTCTTCAGGAAGTCACACACCTGTCACTGTTAGGAGTTACCTAGACCGAAAGCTTCAGTCTCTCTAATCGTCGGTTGTTCCACTGAGACTACGTCTGGCTCCACTAGACCTCCGATTATAGAGACTGAAGTCTGGGGACCTCTTTCTGTGAGGCACTGTACGGAACAAATGGTTCGGTTCGACCGGACCGCGATGAATGAGATATGCAACGAGATTTTCACTCTTTACATCCTCATAACTGCTGCAATTATAACACAAATTAAAAATAACATATATATAGCTTATTTGACTTACGATAGCTTGCTCATTTAGATCCTAAATTAATGATTAATCCGAGAAAGTCTCGTAGTCAACATTATCCGTCTTGGTGTTAGTTGATGAATATTCATTTTTTCTTTTCGAACGTCCAATAGCTACCGTAGCTACGTACGAGTAAGCCCAGCTTGACCAACGAACTCCCACGAAACGAGTGCTCTGATTGGCCATTTGGCTATGTTTTGGTAGGTTGACCCGGAAATATTTTGGCCGCCGGGTCATATAGCCCTAAGCCTATGTTCCGAGTGCATGAACGTTCGGAGATACAAATTGGATAATTCATATAAGTAAGTCCGTAAATTATCCATTTAATATTGAGTTATCAAATTTTGATAACTGTAATTAGGACAAATGACATACCGACCTAATTTACATCTGATTTAGAAATCAGGAAATTAGATCTAAATAAAGAAAATCGGGGAGAAAATGTCGTGGACGAAAATATGCACATATAGAATCTAGGCCTATAGAGTATAGCCACCCCCACGGTACAAGATCTCTGGGTTGCCATCTGTATTGGGGAATGACAACAAATGTCAGTTTTATTAAAGAAATGACCCAAATCAGATGGTTATTGCTGTCTAGGAGTTACCTTGCAATGTAATATGAAGTGGGGTCAACAAATTGATCTCGTCGTTCAAAAAGCTTCGAGACGATTGTTTATGTTGTGTATCTTGAAGAAATACAATGCATCCTGTAGTGATCTAGTTACCATTTACGCATCCCATATCCGTCCCATTCTAGAGTATGTCACCTGTCTGGTCTTCTTCAATCACTTGTCAACAGTCTGAGAAAGTTGAGAGAGTTCAGAGACGTGTGACCAAGATCATTCTCGGTTTCACCCCTCTCACCTATGATGAAAGGCTAGAGAGTCTAAATCTGCCCTCCCTTCAAGCAAGAAGAATAGAGCTTGATGCTAAGTTTGCCCACTCGTTACTGACGTCCCGACACAGAGACTTACTTCCACCATCTAAAGATTCCTTGCCCAATTTTCGCCCCCTCCGTAATAATCATGGTTTGGTCATTCCTAGGTGCAGGACTAGCCGATATCAAAATTCTGCTGTTCCTTCTCTTGTTCGTGCAATTAATAAGCCTTGATTCTCTCTCTCTCTCTCTCTCTCTCTCTCTCTCTCTCTCTCTCTCTCTCTCTCTCTCTCTCTCTCTCTCTCTCTCTCTCTCTCTCTCTCTCTCTCTCTCTCTATCTCTCTATCTCTATCATCTTTCTCTCTCTCTCTCTCTATCTCTCTCTCCCTCTTGCCTTATTCCTCAGAATCTTTTAATTGACACATTCACAATTTGGTGTACGTTATATTTTAATAATGGCATTGTATAACTAATTTTTAAAGTCGATTCCAATTTGTAATATATATATTTCTGTGTGGTTATCTTATCAACTCAAGCGTAATTATGTTAATTCAGGTTTTAAGGCTTCTATCGTTGCCTATCTTCAAAATATTTTCCCCCCTTTTTTCTTTGATTGTTTGGTTGCTCAACATTATTTTTGTCTGTTTATCTGCTACCATTACCATATATCAGTTTAGTAATTTGATGATCTTGACCCTACTTTCTCTTAGTTTATTTTGGTATTGTATTGATGGAATTGTATTATTTTTGTCATCTTTATTTCGTATTGTACTTGTCATACCTTTCGTTTGGCTCACTATTGTATATTTACTGTATTTATAACCGTATTGTATAATTTGTAAACATTATTAATTATGGCTTTATTTTCGTATGATTTCGCCATGATATTGATATCAATAGTTGAAGTTCCCGGATGACTGAGCAATACGAAAACAATATTGGTCAGTCATCCGGGTACTGCGCTAAAGATATTGAATACACTGATTTATTGTACCACTTGGAAGCCTTATATAGATAAGAATCAATATTCTTGAGTGACGTCACAAATATCAGCAATGTTTGAAGAGCTCTCCAAATGTGTAAGCGGGGCGGTACATTACCATTTCGAAATTGATAATAATCTTTACCTTGAAACAAGTTAAAATTTCCAAGCAGGGGAATTTTGATAAATTTGTTTGATCTAACCTCGCCTTATGCAATATGATGCAAATTAAATCATATTACCTTTGCATAATGGCAAATATCTAATACACAGATATTTCTTGATGATTTGACATGCATGTTACACAAACATATTTCAAACTCTGATTAGAAGATTTATAAACAGGAGCACTGTGGTGTATTGGTGAAGGTTCTTGATTCTCATACGAGAGGTTGTGGGTTCAATGCTTGCACTGTGCAAGGTTTTGTTTGAAAACAGGGCGGGTACTAATGGGCTAATATTAATTGCGGGGACCACATGGAAAGCAGTTTTAATACTGATGAAGCTAACCTGGGTAAATGGTACCATATTTACTGTTACCATATTATACCATACTTTATGATTATTCTTTCCTTTTTTTCTTATCTAGGACCATATAATAATTCTTACCCATTGAAGAGCAGGCCGATTCAACAGCTTGTTTGATTTGATGCAATGATAAACCGCTTTCAGCCATTCCTCCTGCCAACTAACAACAAAAACAAAACAAAACCATAATTTTAAAAACTTATTTCATCTCTCTTTCGAATGAAATAGTAAACGTGCCTTTGTATCTTTTCCATTTAATCAAAATATATAGATTATGAAATGGCATATCTTTTAATAACGAAACTGCTTAGTGCATGTCAGAAAAAAATCAAACCCACAGAGTGATATTTAAAGAAAAAAAAATCAAAATATAATGAAAATGTGGATAGATAGATTTGGATATATTTGAATATATTCCATGATAAATAAAATGTGGCAAAGAGAAGTTATATGTGTGGCATATAAAAATATTACACACACATTTCAATTGGATGTTCAAGAACTATGATATACTGGTAATATGAAGGTTTTGAGAAACTAGTCACTGGTACCTTGTGAATAAAGACTGTCCCTGCAAGGCCTCTGCGGTCATCTAAATCTTGACCGGCTAGCGCACAGTCATCCTTGGCCACCACCATCTCCACTAGGATGCCCTCCGCTCTGGCCCTCTCCATGGCGATCCCGACGTTGATACAATCTCCGGTATAGTTCTTTACGATCAGCAATGTTCCAGCTTGAGATGAGAATCAGGGCAACAACAAGAACTCTTGGTTTTGCAAACATATATATATGAAGAGTTTCATTCCAAAAGGAGCTAAATCCATGTTTGTAACTTCGGAGAAAAAAGCCATTGTTTACCAGATTTTGTACCGGCGTCTATGGAAAAGTGATATTAGAAGTTGAATTTTTTTCATAATTGCTCCAAAAATTTAAGTAAATAATTTTGTTCAAAGACGGGTACTAAAGTGAACAATGTTCTGATATCAATAACTCTTTTTTCATCAAAAGTGGATTTAGCTCCTTTTGGAATTAAGCTCTTCATATATATATATATACAGTGCGTCCCAGAAAAAACGAAACCGAGAAGTATTGATGTTCTATCATAACTTAATCACAACTATAATTAATGAATGATACATATTTGGAAAGCTTAGAGTCTCCTCTTTCATGTGATGCTACTCAAATGATGCATATTTTACGCATGAGTGATTAAAAGCAATTTAAAGGAAGGAAACCAAAAAGACATTTGGCGGGCGGTATCTGAATTTCAAAGAAAAATTCACATTTCTAGAAAGTTGAGTTTCTGCCATTTCATATGACACCTCAATCAGGAAAAATGAGCGAGGAATGACAAAGTTCTTTTTGTTTGAAGTAGTGCTTGCATTTCCATAATTTTATTAAACGAATTCGTTTTCACTGGCTGCCTGCCGTATCAATAAACGAAATTAACAAAAGACTTAACTCCGTTTCGTTGACAATCAGCCGTAGACGAGAGTCTTCATGCATGGCCGATTGTCAACGAAACGGAGTTAAGTCTTTTGTCAAATCTGCTTTTTGCTACGACAGGCACCCAGTGAAAACGAATTCGTTTGTTAAAATTATGAAAATGTAAGGGCTACTTTAAACAAACAGAACTTTGTTATTCCTCGCTCATTTTTCCTGATTGAGGTGTCATATGAAAGGGCAGAAACTCAACTTTCTAGAATGATACATATTTGGAAAGCTTAGAGTCTCCTCTTTCAGTTGATGCTACTCGGATGATGCATATTTTACGCATGAGTGATTAAAAGCAATTTGAAGGAAGGAAACCAAAAAGACATTTGGCGGGCGGTATCTACCCCGCCCTACCCATTCTTCAATCCTACCTCTACTACCATCCTACGCCTACCGGGGTCCATTCGCTCTATTCATAAGGACCGCTTTTCATAACGCGTAACTTCCCATACCTGCAGGTCCGCTATTCATAATGGTAAAAGTGGGTCACTATTCATAAAGAAATTAAGTTCGTTAATCATAAGGACCGCTATTCATAACGTAAGATGAGGGTCGCTATTCATTATACGACAAGAAGGTCGCTATTCATAATAGGAAATGAGGTTCATTACTCATAAGGGTCGCTATTCATACACGAGAAGAGGGTCGCTATTCATAATACGAAATGAGGTTCGCTATTCATAATAGGAGAAGAGGGTCGCTATTCAAAAAAGGAGAAGAGGGTATTAAAAATACAAGAAGAGGGTCGCTATTCATAATACAAAATGAGGTCCATTACTCATAAGGGTGACTATTCATAACACGAGAAGAGGGTCTCTATTCATAATACGAAATGAGGTTCGCTATTCATAATACGAAATGAGATTCGCTATTCATAATAGGAGAAGAGGGTCGCTATTCACAACAGGAGAAGAGGGTCGCTACTCATAATAGGAGAAGAGGGTCGCTATTCATAATAGGAGAAGAGGGTCGCTATTCATAAAACGACTAAAGGGATGCTATTCATAATATGCAATGAGGGTCGCTATTCATAATAGGAGAAGAGGGTCACTATTCATAATCGAAATTAGGATCGCTATTCATAATAGGAGAAGAGGGTTGCTATTCATAATAGGAGAAGAGGGTCGCTATTCATAATAGGAGCAGAGTGTCGCTATTCATAATAGGAGAAGTGGGTCGCTATTCATAATAGGAGAAGAGGGTCGCTATTCATAATAGGAGAAGAGGGTCGCTATTCAAAATAGGAGGAGAGGGTTGCTATTCATTATAGGAGAAGAGGCCTGTCGTTATTCATAATACGAAATGAGGGTCGCTATTCATGATATGAAATGAGGTTCGCTATTCATAAAAGGAGTAGGAGGTCGCTATTCATAATACGAAATGAGGTTCGCTATTCATAAAACGAAATGAGGGTCGCTATTCATAATAGGAGTAGAGGGTCGCTATTCATAATAGGAGTAGAGGGTCGCTATTCATAATACCACGAGAGGGTCGCTATTCATAATAGTTTGTTAGTCTCTTTGTCTGGGTCCAAATTACTGTATATGAAGCAGTCAGCTTTAGTTTCACCATGGGATGGGGGGGGGGGGGGGGGGGGGGGGGGGGTGGGAGAAAGCCACCAAAACTAACCGAAACTAGGTTGCCTCCCTCCCCCTACAGTGCCTTATTCATAGCATCAGGAGGGGAAACGTCTGAAGAGATCTGATTTGAGTGTTGTATTTCGAATGTTTCAAAGAGCATTCCTATATACGATTACAAATTTTGTTATCTACAAATTTACTGCATTTGTTTACGAGTGTTTTCTTCATGGTCGGGAATGTTGGGGGAAATTGCCCCTTCCCTGCAAATCCTGTAAATATGATAGTTGCATACCTAGATGACATGAGGCCGCTTGCACGTTAATCTCATTCTCGCATAGTAAAAAAGTGTAAATGTGTTTCTGACAACATGACAATACTCAATTCGTATAAAATTCAAACCTGACAAAATAATAGTTCTTCGTGTTGCTCAGAGGACTAAGCATTTACTTTAATTACTAATTCATTGATGCATGCAAAAATATTGACTTCGAAGAAGAACAAAACAATTTAATAATTTAGCCTAGATAATATGTATATTAGAAAACTTTAACTACTAGCTGCTATCTATTTATAATAAGTTTGATTGTACAAATTTAGTAATGAAATATCGTCTTGTCAATCTTTTTATGGGGGGATTGCGTATAAATGTTTCTGATTTTAGGCCTAAATTCTATTTGTAAGGAAAATTTGAAATTAAAAAGAAAATGAACCTGAATGTAATAGGTATAGAAGTCTAATCTATACCTTAGCATAAAATACAATAGCGCCATCTCTAGACATTGTAAGTATACTGTTAGAACAAGACAGTATTAAAAATTTTAATCAACTTGGTTAAAATTTTAATTAATCACGGATTACCATATGAATCACACAATCGTTGGTTAAAGGTAGGCGTTACTACTGCAGCTAGAAGGGATTAGACCACACAGCGAGCCAACGAGGTCACTGTGACAGGTGGCTATCTCATTAACTCAGCTCTCATTTAACATAAGAAAAAGAGGATCATGGGGGACCAACAGGCACCAATTTGGGAAGATTTCTATATAGAGGGAGCAAGTAGCTACAAGTAGGACAGTGTGCCTTTAAACCCCCGTGGCTACGTGCCTGCACAGCGGATAAATAGCCACAGTTCGTAGGGGAAAAAATATGCCAGCCGACCGACAGTAGCAGTATACATCCATCGACTTCATACTTCTGCATTGATATAGTACACGAGGATCGAGCATGAATACCGACACAGCTGACCCGACACAGCAAGATATCTATTATGCTTTTCACACTGGCAATATTTTCCTTAACCCCGTACTATAGGTGGGGTTAAGGGGTCTTAACCCCACCTATAGTACGGGGTTAAGCCTATTCCACTTTCTGTTCACACTGGTTTTTACCAAAGTGGGCTAAAGTTGGCTAACCCCACCTATAGTACGGGGTTAACTAACCCTGCAAAATAGCAGGGCTAACTCCGCAATTGTGGTGCTAACTCCTGCTAACCCCGCAATTGTGGTGCTAAGCAAATGAATGAGAACAGAAACGAAAAATAGTCCGGTACTACGCAATGGAGCGTATCGCAGCTGGCCAGATGCGAATATGTCCAATCATAACATTAACGATATCCGGGGTTAACGAATTGCAGTGAGAACAGCGGGAATTTTCTTATTCCGGAATAGGCGCTAGTATACGGGACTCAAAACAGCGGGTGTGAAAAGCCAAAAAAATAGTCCGGGGTTAAGGATAGTACGGGGCTAAGCAAAGTACGGGGTTAAGCAAAACCAGTGTGAAAAGAGTATATGCGTATCTTTCTTGTTCCCTCGAGGAGACGACTCCACCCAACAACCCCCCCCCCCCCTCTCTCTCTCTCTCTCTCTCTCTCTTACTCCCACCCCTCCTCTTTCAGGCTCTTACCCCCTCTTTCTCCTCTCTTTCACCCCCGTTTTTTTTCCTTTCTCCTTTTGTTTCTTTTGTTTCTTTTCCTTTCTTTTCCTTCTTTTCCTTTCTTTTCCTTTCTTTCCTTTCTTTTCCTTTTTTTCCATTTTTTTTCTTCTTTCTTTTTCCCTTTCCCTCCCCCTTTTCTCATTTTTCCCGACGGCAGCACAATCCTGACATTTTGAAATTTAGCTGAGATTTGAAAATTGTGCCGGCCGATATTTCCCTCAGTGGGTTTGGGGGGGGGGGGGGGGGGGGGTAGTGAGCATTATATTTTTTCTTCTTCTATTTTACCCCGAAATTTGTTTACTGATTACCCTCCTCCCCCCCCCCCCCCCTTGAACAAACGGGAAAAGATAATTTTCTGGTCACAATTTTTTTTAAAACTTTTTTTTGGCCAGGGGGCGGGTGGGGGGGGGGGCTAGGCCCGCTCGGCCCCGCTGAAACCGTACTTGCATGTTTGTTCATTATCAACATAAGATAAAAGGAAGTGGGGAATCATAAAAACCTAAATTGGCTTGATGAGAATGATCCCCAAATAAATACTTAGCATAAACAAGATACAAATTTATTTTATATTTAAAAAAAAAACATAGTACATACATTCACTACAACAGAGCCCAGAGGAAAGAGAAAGATAACATAAGGTAAAGACAGTACAGGAAGATAAGAAGAGAGAGAAGATAAGAAGAAGGAAGTTATAGCTTGGGTCTTACATTCTACATAATAAATGACAATTTCATTTTGTTCCGCTTAAAATAACCCTTATACTTCAAGCGTTTCAATGTATTCCACTGTTTTATGTCATCTGGCAAACTATTCCAAATTAATGGACCATGAAAAAAATGGAATCTTTAAAGGTTGACTTGATTTAAGAGCACTGATTACTTTTCTATAGGGATGTATTACAGTTAATATTTGTATTGTCATCCAGGGATTAGATGAAACAATGCTCTTTGGGTCAACACTGACATGAACTCACGGATCCGACACAAATTTTTATGGGGTCAGCGTCCGTTTTTGTTTTGTTTTTCTACCCTATATATATAACAATTATTGTAGATGAAATTTAATATTTCTATTTCACCTCAAAATATATTTTGCTCCAAGTGACTAATGATAGAACAAACATGAAGGGTTGACTTTGATGAAAAAATTGTATTGATTCTAATACGGAAGCGACCATATCAATGTTATCCACTTACAACTTTACATTTGCTTGTGCAACGCTAAATCATGCGGGGTCCATAGGCTCACAAAATGGGGTCGATGGGCTTCTGCTTCCTGAGGATTGAAAGTACCAATATTCGGGCAACCTTCACCTCGGTTTTTGCAGCGGGGGGGGGGGGGGGGGGGGGGGGGGGGGGGGCTGATACTTGTGTCCCTCGGTTTTCCGAACGCTCAAACATGTGGGTGTGTCCCGGCCATACCCCCCCCTTTCAGATTGGTGCTCATGAGTGTTTGAAATTTTGGGAGAGAGGGAGAGAAAGAGAGAGAGAGAGAGAGAGAGAGAGAGAGAACGCTAATACAATTATCAGTTGAGATTGTTCAATTCTGAAGAAAAGCAGTATCATGGCGTATACGATGAATATGATATCAATCCCGGGTTTCTCAGCAGTAATTTACCATATAAACTATACGATTTCACCTGTTTATCATTACATGTAAAAAGATTAAACATAAATGGGAGAGGGGCATTTCAATTAATATCCCGACCCTCTTGCCAGGCTCTTTTAACTCACTTCTCTAGTTCTACACCCTGGTAAATGTTAGGGTATTTTATCGACAGGGCCGGATCAGTGCATGTTTAGTTTGACAGAAAAGAGTTTTGGGTTTGGAGTCCCCCCCCCCCTGCCTCGCGCCTCCTCTACCCCCCCCCATCCCCCACCCCCTACCCCCACCCCCGAACATGTTTGCGAGAATTCCGCCATGTGCGTGCCAAACTCGCTCAGCCGAAGTTATAGTTTTGGGAGTTACCCGGGGTCCCGGGTTATATGCAAATTAACGTAACTACCACCAAGTGAAAGTATCTTTCAATTTGGGAAAATGAACCTTTACTAAAAAGCGATGTTTAAAAAAAAGATGAATTTCATGAATATGATATATTCAAAATCGAGCTGTAAAAAGTGAAAATTAAATATACCAGTAACTTCATTTGCTATTTTGGAGACCACGCCCATTAGTTCGATGCGATAGAAGTGTTATCGTTCACGAATCATTTATCGTATAAGCTGAGCCGAGAGTACGTCGACCGGACCGGCAGTGAAACACTTCTTATGATATTAAGTTTACAATTGAGTCAACTCAACGTCTTGACGTCAAAAGTTATTGAATGTTATTCTGTAAAACTTAAAAGCTAAATGTTCAAGCAGGAATTTGATTTCTACGATGCAGGAATTATTGCAGAACGAATGCATCTTCATCTAAGTTCAACAAGTAGACTTGTCTGAGCCGAACGCGGAAGTACCTGTACCGCTGCGCCAGCCCATTGGAAAGCAGTACAGTCTCGCTGTGATATGTTACACGAATTCCATCGTCTAGTTCAATTTGACACAGCTAGCTTGGTAGTACTGGTACAGGTTGGTACAGTACAGCACTAGCATTGCAGTAGCACTGACTGCCTTGACTTAGCCGTCGTTGTCATTGATTAGTCTTTGGAGTTGAATGTCATCAAATTCTCCCGATTTGCAGTGTGAAATAACAACCTTATTGCTAAAATTTTACATCGATGAAGTAGACAGAATTTAGAATTGATAATGGCCGGGGCGGATACATCAAAGGTTCGGCTAAAGTTGGAAGAGATTGTTGTTCCTGATGACCTAGTGGAAGGCAACAAATTCCTCAAATGGGACGAGGTGAGTACTACTACTACATTCTAATTCTAGACCTATTCAGTTCATAAATTTATACCCACATAGGGCCTACATAGATTTACATGTATAGTCTTCATATGATTATGAGTTGGCTTAGTCTGGCTTAATCCAAATTTCATGACTAGAAGTTAGAACTTGAATAAGGTTCAACTTGATTTGATTGTCATGTTTGTAGATCTAGCAATAATTTATGATGTGACTGATAATGGCATTAATGCCCAAAAAGAAGAGTCTCTAGATCTTTGTGTTCTTAATTTTAGGTTAACATCAAAAGTTAGACCTGCATACATGATTTTCATTTTGAGTTTTGAACTGAAATACTTTTATGTTTAAATTTCTAAGGATATAAATCTGACTTTAGAGTGCTACAGGGGTCCATAAAAACATGATGGTGATTAATTATTGATTGTTGATTATTATGTAATTGATGGGTTCATTCATTTGTTTCTACATGTATTTCTATTAATTAATTTGACCTTTCATAAGAAAGCAAAACAATTACTAGAATCTGCATAATTTCATTTAAAGGTCAATGTAATCTGTGATTTGAGAAAATACACACCGGTAGTAGACATACATGTACAACTGTACATGTTCGTCAATGAATTTCTGAAATGTCAAGTTGGGTAAAATGCAATAAAAGTTGAGATGAAACTTCATAAATGCTTGGGTGTACTTTCTCCCATATTAATGAAAATAGTGATGTTTGAATTAGTTTTACATGTAGTATGTACATTCAGATTTTTAGTATTGGTTTGAGTCTTGCACAAGTTGTCTTTCAAAAATGTGTGCTGAACCAAGGAACCTGTCATCTCCACAGTATATTAAGGGACACACACTCAACAAACACTTTGTCACCAGCCATCTCTCTATAGTATAAGCTCACATTATTTTGAACAGATATGACTGAAACATTTGACCACTGATTCTGAAATTACAGACAACTTTGATTATTTAAATGCAAAATATGGATGGTTTTGAAGCCTATTATTAACACAAGGCATGCTTCAAATGAGAAGTTCTTTCACATGAAACAAACATTAAAAAGAATAGTCAAAACTACTTCTTTCTCCATTGCAAGAACCTAACTTATTCTTTGAATTACCAAGAGCGCGTTTATCTAGGCTTGCCACTAGATATGTACATATCGTACCCCACTATCGAGCCCCACTATCGTACCCCACTATACGATCGTGATTTTCGGGATGTCGCGTTTATCGACCCTTCACGATTCAAAATAAAGGCCTTGTGTCTGCCCAGCTGTTTTGACCTGGGAAGCAGACAGTTTCTCGGAGGTCAACTTCACACGTATGCTTGTACACAACACCTGGGTGGTCATATTTGTATGTGAGGTTCAAAACAGCTTTGCGTTTATCGATCTCTCAGAAACGTGATTCTGGCTGTATGTCACATTCAAAACGCACCTTTTTGCATCTTTAGATATCTAAAGACGTTTGAAAAAGGCTTTGTGTTTATCTACTTCTAAATTTGCCTGAAAGACGTTTGAGAAACCTGATTCAAGCCAAAATTTTGCTAGATAAACGCAACCCAAGACAGCCGACTACTGTATGTATTTGCTGATAAGGCTGTATCTTTCAACATGCTAGAAATTTAAAGGAAGTTGTGGTCTAGTTTAAGCCAACTCAAGGCCTCTGTAGCATCACACTGACAGTTATGACTTCGTGTGGTTTGACTTGGATGCTCTTGGGTTTCAGAATTCATTTGGGCAAAAGTAGGCTATACTTGCAAGACTGGGAATGAAAATCAGCTCAAAGATCCTTTTTCATTGGTCTTGTGAGATTTCTTGCGGTCTTTAAGTTAGACTGACTTTGTCTTATATAAAAGAAGTTTATGTAAAGACTAAAGAGTCACTTATGATGCTTGCAAGTTGATTGCAATTTTATGAAAAAAGAGGTACGGTAACTTAATTGCAAAATTCAGTAATTAGAAAACCAAAACATGACAAGAAATGTAGGTGTTACTGTTTTACCATTTCTAGAACTGGAACCAAAACCCTAGTTTGCGGTGATTGTATTTGCACCAGGTACCTATCGATCCTTACCAGAGCATGAGGTATTCATGCAAAACTGATATCAATTGGACTATTTCATCGCAGAACAAAAGAAAAGCTTCCGCATGTTCCTTTCATTCACCATGATCTGGATAAAGTGTACATACTGTACATGTACATGTGTAAGAGAGGATGTCAACATACATGTACATGTACATGCACATGTCTCTTAACGTCAATGCATTGTATTAGTGAGAACTTCTATATGACAGATTATTATTTGAAGAAAATATTATTCTGACAAAGGATTTGAAAATTATGAACTTATAGAGTTGAAATCAACAAAAACTCAGTGACAACTCTTTGATTTGAAAGCACCTGTCCTATTGGTTTTGTAAAAGTTAATCCATAATTTTTGGTTAAAGTATTTGATAAACGAATGAATTGAATGAAGGGGATATGAAAAAAAAGGTTCTATAATAAAGGCTACAGTTATCTACTTGGGCACAGTTAAATTGAAAGTTCTATATATTATCTCTTTAACAGAGAAAAGAAGTGGTCTGTATTAGTGAGTAATATTTTATGTTAATGTACATGTTGCTTTTACTCATGTTTCAATATGAATAATACTGTAATCTTCTGTGATCTCTTTTCCAAATGAATCTAAAACTAAGAAAAGAAATTTCTATAATACTTATTGACCCTTCATGTACTGTACATGTCTCAGTTGTCCTCTTTTTCGTCATACAGGATTGAGATATGAAATGAGGATTGAAATGCGTACACATTGCACATGTACTATCATGTCATTTCTCTTGCTTCTAAAGACAAAATTGAAGAGACCTACAGTATCTCAATAACCAATGGAATGCACCTAAATTAGCGAAGGATAACTGGATAAGCCCTTGATTGGCCCATAGACTGCTGCTGTGTTAATCTTATGGTGTAGCAGTCTCATTAATCATTTCCTATAGAGATTAAAGATCTAGAAGGAAACCATGGAGGATTCATTTCCGTTGAGAGAGCGTGTCCTTGTTTGACAAACTCTTCTCCATGTCGGTCGTACCCTGCCTGCCAGCCTGGGTCATTGAGATGATGATGAACTCGGAGATCGATTCAAATATTTGCAGAGATGTACATGTATTTGTATCGGCTGCTCTTGAAAATATTGTACATTTCTGCATACGTTACTGCATACATGTACATAGAACTCGGTCATAAATGCATTTTTACATGATTGAATGTATGTATTGTACAAGTACATGTATGTGCCTACATTTACATGCATGTGGTATTTACACTGTAGGCCGATTAAGCTCTGTCTTAATAACTACCGGTAATAAGCTGCTAAGCACTATCTGAACTACAGTAGGCATGTATTGCTGGTTCAGAGCCAGATGGGTGTTAACTCTGTTAATGCCTTTCTGGTTCCAGACATAATTACAACATGACATGATCTTATTTGTATTTTGGTTATTGGTTACATGTACATCATTCACTGAATTTTATTCAATAAATAACCCTTTAGCTTCCAGGGTAATTTAGGGCTATTAATCAAATACTATTAACTAAATACTCTCATCAGAGCAGATGCAATAGAGGTGTCATAGTTGAGTGGTTGAATCACTTGACTGGGGATATAAAAGTTATTGTTTCTATGCCTGTCATGTACAGTACATGTACATGTACAGTGTACATGACAGGCATGTTTTGGGCAATGTATTTTATGTGCACTTCATCTCTCCAATCAGGTGTTGAATGGGTATACATGTACATGAAGATGATCTGTTAGGATGCGAATGTCATTGTGGTTTGAATAGAATACATGAGCTGTAAAATAGTTGCCAGGTTGGACTACTCCCAAGCAGAGTGTACACGTATAGGATACACCTGTAGATCTGCACTGTAATTGCAGGGTCATCATTGAATCCAATGACCATTGTTAAGTTCTTTGATCAGTTATATTCAATTGGAAAGGTGCTATAACAACACCCGTCCCCCATCAACCGAGCAACAAGGAACAATAATAATAATATTCTTCTTCTTCCTAATAAAACAATTGTGCTTAGTGTAGCTGCCTTCTGCAGGATGTAGAGGTGTAGATCCGGGGAGATCTTGGATATATATAAGACGATTGTCTGTTCCTTTGACTGCAATTTTACTGCAATTTTTTAGTAATTTAGGGGTTATTATTATTGTTATCATTATCATTATTATTGCTATTGTTATTATAATTTGTTGAAATAAATTTATATTATCAGTGTTGTTGTTTTTATTATTTTTATTTTATTATTATTATCAGTATTATTATTATAATCATTATCTCAAAAATAATGTCCAGAATTATATGTAAACCTCAAACCACTGGGCTATCATCTTGTTTAAAAAAATATATTGTTGATCATTGTTAGGAATTTGGTTTCAAAGAAAGATGTATGTTTTACTTGGGATAAAACAAGGCAAAAGCAGTGATTTCTATTTTTAAAAAATGTATGCACTTCAGTCCACAGTTTTGAGAGTTTATGTGTTGTACATGTACCTGTGCAGGTACATAACCAAGTAAATTAAGGTAAGATATATTTACCTTAAAACCTAAATTCAAAGGATTGTAAATAATATGACATTAACATTCTTGAATGTCTGTTTTGAGTACGAAGTATTCTGTCAGAAATGACATAGACGGAGAGCACATAAAGTTCTTCTACCTCTGCATGAGTTATGAGGGCCTCTTAACTGATACGAGATTGCCCGACAAATTGATGTCCTTTATTAGAAAATTGAAGCTACATGTACATGTACATACCAAAGCCCCAATCTCATAGATATGCGATAGCCCAGAACAAATATAAATCAAACATTTGATATTTTACTTGCTGGTTAATATACTTTGCATTATAGGTTGTTGTTATGATTCATCTTGAAGGTCCTACATGTGGGACCAAGTAGGGTTGTGTACTTGTGTGGTGTTTCA